GGCAGGCAGCAAACAACCTAAAACAAGCAAACAAGGCGAGGGTCAAAAACACGGCAAAGCATTGTGTTTGGTCTGTTTGGCGGTTGTCAGGAGAACAGTACTTGCCTGACTGCAAAGTACCAAGTGTAAAATTTTGTGGAGGGGGATTATGTTAGGGGTGTATTATTCAGGCATTGGTCTTGATCTCTTAGATCCAATGAAAAGATTTCTTAATGCAAATATCTTCATGCATTTTGGACAGTTTTATGCTTTGTACTTGTAGGAAAAGTTTAAGGATGAGGATTCCTCTTTAATATATCACAACAAAACAAGTTCATAAAGACATGCATAAGAAGTTTGGTACACTCAAAAAATGTTTGCTTGTGCTCGTTCAAACTACTTATTTAAAATGAGCTGAAACAACACAATTCTTGAAATTTCATTGGGACAATAATTTTTTTATATTCAATTCACATAAATGGGTTAAAAGTGTTAACTTAATCATTTTGTGTTGGGACAACATAAATGAACCGTGTGGAGTGCTGCATTTTTTACAGTGTATGGGGAAAAATAGACTGGCCTGCACAGAGTCCTGAACCAAATCCAATTGAATACCTCTGGGATAAGTTACAGCAGAGATTGTGAGCCAGAACTTTTTTTTTTCCAACATCAGTACCTAACCCCACTAAGACATTTTTAAAGGTTCACAAAACCCTGGAGTACATTTTTTTAATTTATTTTTATTTTATTTTAACAGATTTGTGTGTGTTGAACATCAGTTAAGACAATGCTAGCACCTGTTAGCTGTAATTGTGGAGAAAACTGGATAATTTGGACTTTTTGTCAGCTAATTTCAGCTTCTGGGCCTGGTTTTTCAAAAGTAATCCACTAGGATTTTGGATAAGGGATTGGATCAAATCTTGAAAGTGGGTTTTTCAAAAGAAAAAACAGATTACCTAATCAGATTAGATCACGTAATCCAATCTTGGTTTTGATCCGGATCAAACCTTTAGTTTGGGTTTTTCAGACATTTTTTGTAGGATCTGGATCACTTTGATCCAAAAAACCTGGATTAAACTGATCCCATCAGAAGGGTGGATTCAGCGTGGATTTTATGCCCGAAATGTTAAAAAAATCTATTAAATAATATTATACTTGGATCATGCAGTATTTTACGAGATATACTATTTATTCATAAGGGTTTAATTGTATTTGTTCATCTGTCAGGCTATAGTGATTATAGGCTTTAATGTATTTAGCCTTTCAGTATAGGCCTACAGCAAAGTAGAAAGAGTTTGGCCTCATAAAATAATCGCCCAAACAGCTGTCAAAATTTACCAAAA